AGGATAGGTCTTGAGATCCATCTCAATTACTCTTAGAAAAAAACTCTTGAAAGGTATTTATAACTTTCAAAGAGGTGCATACGCATTCTTTTTTTTGCAGAAAATCTAGATTTTACCGTGAAATCCTCAGATTTTACCGTGAAATCCTCAGATTTTATAAATTTCAGATTTTAGTATAAATTTTACACGAAATGTTTTGCTGAAATCGTAAAATCGTAAGATTTTAAAATTTAAATCTAGATTTTGACAATAATGGATAGGACTTTCCAGTTCCACACACGTGTGTAACTGTATATATATATATATTTATATATAAAGAGGCTTGGACCGGAAGTGAAAAGAGATAATTTTCTATGGGTTCATATCTCTTGTATATGTGACTGCCCTTAATAATTATTACTTTTTTCTTTTTTAAATTGGATTCCATCTGCGGCCAACTCTACATAAGTTTTTGTCAATGATGTAAAAGCTTGTGCAATCAAATACAATTCATGATATATGTATACTCTTTTTTGGGCCGTAATATATATATATATATATATATTTATACGTGTGAGTTAAAATTTGTTTGCATATGTAATTTTTATATATATCATTTATATAAAATTTTAATTATTTATTTTTTAACTATAAATATTTGAGATTTTTTATAATATTTTGATAAAAAAATTTTATCCTTAAAAGATAAAACAAAAAGTGAATAATTTTTTAAATTAAAAAAAGATAATTATCTTTTTTTTTTTTTATTTTGATTGCACAATGAGAGGCAAACATCTCTCATCTCTTATCCCACTCCATCCACATATCCTATTACTCGAATTTAAGATCTTTTACTTTCAGTAGAAGGAAATAACTACTGAATTATTTAGATCATTGACGATAATTATCTTTAAAAAATAAATAAAAGAGAATAAATCTCAATTATTCATAGTGAAAAGATAAATGATCAAAATTCATATAAATAATATGTGTAAAAATTATATATAAATAAATCCTAAAGCTACAAGCTTTGTAATACCCCAAAATTTCTAAAGCATTAAAGTGAGTTAGGGACCTAATTGTGAAGAAAAATCATTAATGAATGTAATAACAAAAATTTTCAAAGTTTAGGACTAAAAAAAAAAGGAAATTAGGATAAGGATCAAGGCTGATATTTTGTCCTCAGCCACGTGTTTTGCTCTTCTTCAGCTTCATCTTTTCCTCGATGCTCTGCCTCCCGAAAGCCCCCAAGCAGCCACCGACTCATTTCTTGAGAAATTGGTGACCAAGCTTGAAATTTTCTCCTTCTTTTCTTGATAAGCAACAAGATTTAGGGCTTAGAATCTTCCCCCTCAACCTAGAAAATCCCGGATCTGCAGCTCTTCCTCCCCTGTCCATGACTTGCCCTTGGTTGGGTGAGAATGAATCTTCGGTTTTAGGTAAGAAAACAGCCATGAATTCCTCTTTTCATCCTTAAATTGGCTTGGGTTCACTTTAATTTCCTTTGTTTCCTTCAATTACCGGTAGTTCTTCTCCAAAAGCCCGCCGGTTTCCTCAACCATCAACTCCGGTTCTGCTGTTGCCGGAAAATTCTGGTATGTGCTAGCTTCTCCAAGGCTGAATTTACCCATTTAATTGTTGGGTTTTGTCCATTAAGTGCTGCCCTTTGCTTGCCCGAATTTTGCTAAAATGGGGGAGGAATTCTGGTAGTATTTAGCAGCCTTTAAACGTGTTTTTTAGGCTTAGTTCATGTAGAAATAAACCTGTTTTGGCTTGAAATTTAGCTGCTGTTCTGCGTGAAAATCCTGCTATTTTTGCCAAAGATTTTACTGTTCACGCGTACCAGTTACTGTTCACGCAGAAAATTCTGCAACTAGCTACTGTTTTTGCTCCTTTTCAGTCCGTTTCTGCTCTGAAAAAAATCTGATGAAATATCCATTTTTCTGGTATTTTAGCTGGCTGTAGTGAATTCCAGAAATATCAGTTACTGTTCACGTGCACTGTTCACGTGCACTGTCCACGTGCACTGTTCACGTGCACTGTTCACGTGCACTGTTCACGTACGCTGTTCATTCGTTGAGTTTTAATTAATTGGAGTAGAAAATCTCATGGAATTAGTTAGTTATGGCATTGGATTAATTTTGGTCCAGTAGTGATGTATTATTGATTGGGGTTTCGTTTAGTTGTTGAGAATGTGATGGGAAAATGAAAAAGGAAATGGTTATTAATTCTTAGATATTTTGATTAGGTTCTTGATCGTTCTGTCAGTTTAGTATTGAGATTGAGTCTTCGGTTTTATGTGAGTGAGGTAAGTAAATTTATGGTAATGCCCGTACTGTTTTTAAAAGCATGTTTTGATTTGTTTTTGATTTGTTTTTGAAGTGGTGGCGGGACTAAACCCGTTTTATGCAAAAGTAAGTATGATTTATTTGAAGTGCAATTTTTATGCTTTTCATTAAATTGAGCATGCCTACTCGAGATTTAATTCATTGTCCTGATGATCTGAAAGTGATTGGTGAATTATGTTTTTCTGTTAACTCCAGCATGTTTTGTCTCCGATGTGGTCATGTTTCTGTAATCCTGCTAGTGGGAGTTAAACGCTAGCACATGTCGGCACATGTCGATATGTTATTGATGATCCTGCTAGTGGGGGTTAAACGCTAGTACATGTCGGCACATGTCGATATGTTATTGATGATCCTACTAGTGGGGGTTAAACGCTAGCACATGTCGGTACATGTCGATATGTTATTGATAGAACCAGTTCGTTTCTGTAACCCTGGTAGTGGGGGTTATATACTAGTAATTCCTGTGGCCTGCCAGTGGGAGGTTTAAACACTAGCCATGACTTATAGTGGAGATGTTTATTTCGTTCCCGTACTGTATCCGTTTTTCATGATTGCACTTGTTGGCATGCTATAAGTTTAATAAAGGGCACTCCATATTTTACTTACTGAGTTTATCTCATAGTTTTCCTTGGCCACCATTTCAGGAAG